ACTTCGGATCAGGTCATGATCAGGTTGACAGGTTCTCAAGCCCCGCATTGGGCTCTGTGCTGACAGCTTGGAGCCTGGAGCCTGCATTGGATTCTGTGTGTGTCTCTCTCTCCTCCCCTCCCCCATAATGTTCTGTCTCTCTCTCTCTCTCTCAAAAAAATATAGAAACATTAAAAAAAATTAAAAAAAAAAAAAGAATAACCATTTGATCCAGTATTTTCACTATCAGGTATTAACCCAAAGAAAACAAAAACACTAATTCAAAAAGATATATGCACCCCTATGTTCATTGCAGCATTATTTACAATAGCCAGGAAGAGCACAACCTAAGTGTCTATCAATAGATGAATGGATAAGGAAGACGTAGTACGTATGTGTGTGTATGTAATGTATGTATACACACACACACACACACACACAAATACATACACACAACAGACTATTACATATCCATAAAAAAGGATGAGACTGTGCCATTTGAGACAACACAGATGGACCTATTATGCTAAGTCAGGCTGAGAAAGACAACTACCATATGACTCTACACGTAAGTAGAATCTTAAAAAAAAAAATAATGAAAAAATGAATAAACATAGAAAAAGCAGAATCAGACCTGCAAATACAGAGAACAAACTGATGTTGCCAGAAGGGAGGTTTATGGGGTTGGGCAAAAGGTGTGAAGGGAGAGGGAGATACAGGCTTCCAGTTATGGAATAAGTAAGTCACATGAATAAAAAGCAGATCATAAGGAATATAATCAATGATATTCTAACAGCAATGTCATGGCACAGATGACAGCTACACTTGTGGTGAACACAGAGTAATGTATAAATTTGCCAAATCACTAAGCTGCACATCTGAAACTAGTATAACATTGTGTGTCAATTATACTCAAAGAAGAAATGTTTGACCAGAGCAAGGCAGAACCAAAACAGCAGAGATACTGACTCAGAATCCTAATCAAACCATCTCTGAAGCCTTCCCTACTTGTTTTTTCATTTACAGTAAAACTCTGGTTTGAAAGCATAATTTGTTCCGGAAACATGCTCGTAATCCAAAGCATTTGTATATCAAAGCGAATTTCCCCATAAGAAATAATGGAAACTCAGATGATTTGTTCCACAACCCAAAAATGTTCATATAAAAATGATTACAATACTGTAATACAAAATAATAAAAAAAATACAAAACATACGGAAAAATAAATTAACATGCACTTACCTTTGAAAAGCTTTGTGGCTGGTTCACAGAGGGTTATTGTGTAGGATGATTTTCACTATCACTAATGGAATCACTGTTATCTATTGGCTCAATGGAATCTTTTTCTGCATGGGGACCACTGTATATGCTCACACAGATGTTGACTACAGTACAGTATTAATAAACTCTTGTCATATACTGTAAATTATTTAATACAGCTGGCAATACGGCAGCAGAGGAAAGGGTCTACATCTGTAGGCAG